GCTGGCTGGCGTGTGGAGCTAGGGGATTGAACCACGGTCCCTGTGCTTTGCTAAGCTTGTTCTAAGTAGGCGCTTTAGACCACTGAGCCATCTCACCAGCCCTAAAATTTTATTTTAAAGAAAAACCAAAATTTAAAAATAAGTGATTAATACATTGCATACTGTTATCTTTAGTTACTCAGAGTACAAGATATAGGCATTTAATTATCCAAATAAGGCTTTTTTTGTCCAAATATTAGCACAAACCAGGGCCAGGGAGACAGAATCCCAAGCTTGCCTGCACCACGACCAGGTGGGGAGGAAAAGGAAATCCAGGCAGGGTGTTTGCGCTGCTCTCCCCGGCGTCCGCCTTCCAGAGAGCTCCAGGACGCTCCTCCCCAGGGCTCCAGCCTCCCACTTGGGGAGGGCCAGGCCCTCCACGCGGTCCCTGAAACCTCTGGGAGTTTCCCTAGAGGAGGAAAGGCAAACTGTGACGTGAGTCACAGCCCTAGGCCCATAGATCCCATTCACTGTCTCCTCAAGAATGAGCCCAGAGGGGCCGGGGAGATGGCTCAGTAGAATAAGCGCTTCCCTGGCAAGCACAAGGGTCTGAGTTCAATCCCCAGTTCTGAAAAAAAAAACAAAAAAACAATGAGCCCAGGGTGGAGGAGCACCTGCCCTTCCTCCCTCCTCTCCCTGGGCCTCGCCAGCCAGACTGGCCAGGTCTTGCCCGGCCTGGCCACAGCCTGTGAACAGGCTGTGCCCAGACTGGAAGTCCCCAAGGCCCTGGGTGACCTGAGCCTGCTGCTATTCCATCTGGAGAATTTCACTGCCAGTGAGAGAAGTGGACTCCAGGTCATGGAAGCTGCTAGCTCACTGTGTAACCACGAACCTCTCTCCACATCTGTCCCCGGGCCCAGTGGCGCTGGTGATGGCGACTGGCCAGCAAGGCCATGCAGGTTGTTCCCAGGCCAGCACCTCTTCCTGCGCTGGAAAGTTGCCCAGGAGGACCCTGCTTGGTGGCACCTTTCCCAGGGGGTAAGAGGACTAAGAGGACAAACAGGCTAGTACCTTGGAAACCCCAAGGAGCGTGGGGCAGCCTGTGGCCTGTGCCCTGCAGAAGAACCTTTTTTATTTTTTACCTTTTTTGTATTTGGTACAGGGTCTCACTATGTGGCTCAGACTGATAGTGGTTGAAAAAAAATAAAGATGGAGGGGTTGTCTTGTTAAATAGCTCAGGGAATCCTCCTGTCTCAATCTCCCGAGCGCTGGGATTACAGGTGTGTGCCATCATGCTGGTTCTGGAAGCTGTGCTAAGGAGGTGGCCATCTCGTCACTGGTCCCAGGTTCCCTGGGCAGGGACACTGCCTTACCTTTGTCTGCTGCAAGGCATGCTGAACCTACTATAAGATTCTTTGGGCCAGCGAGATAGCTTAGTGGACTAAATGCCTGTTTGGCAAGTTCAGGGACCAGGGTTCGATCCCCAGGACCACAAGCTGTGCCAGCCCCGCCCTGGGCACACAGAGCCAGCCAACAAGACCTGGTGTGGTGGTGCACACCTGGAATCCCAGCGCTGGGGAGGCTGAAAACAGGAGGATCACTATCAGTATGAACTGTGTAGTGAGACCCTGTACCAAATATATAAAAAAGTAAAAAATTTTAGGTTCTTTCTTCTGCAGGGCACAGGCCACAGGCTGCCCCACGCTCCTTGGGGTTTCCTGTTCCCCCTCTTCAGAGCCAGGTACAGCAGAGAAGAAATGGGAGGCCTGACGTATAAGTGGATCCGTTGTGTAGAAGACCAGTATCACCCTTGCCCTTCAGGTCGGTATGGCAATGCCGAGTCAGGATGTGTCTATGGCTATACACCACGAGGAGCTGCCCCACCCTGGCTGCAGAGCCAGTGGGGAGCCTAGACACGAGACAGGCTGGGCCTCTTGCTGTTGCACCAGAAGTCTTGACCCTGAAGTGGCCTTGTGTCCTGGCCCAGGGTCTCCCTCCCCTTTAGAGGCTCTCAGGACTGGACACTGGCCTCCTGGGACCATCTACAGGTCCACACTGGGCTCCAGGGCTCTCAGCCCCCACACTGGGGTGGGGATCAGGGCCAGCTTTGATGCCCCCGTAAGCCCTGCTTCTCACCTGTGCCAGCTTGACGCGTTGCTCTCCCATGGCAATGGGCCAGCCGTTATAAAGTATTTAATTTGTCTGACAGAGGGGCTGGGGAGATGGCTCAGTGGAATAAGCACTTCCCTAGCAAGTGCAAGGGTCTGAGTTCAATCCCCGGTTCCCCCCCCCAAAAAAAAAGTTGTTTGAGAGGTGGGTACTGTGATTGTTTTTCCAACACTAACTAAACCAGACCACAGGACCAAGCACACACCAGATACTAGTTAGACCCACAGCCTCACCACACACTGTTTTTGAGTTTAGGCAGCTAATCTAACTCCAGCCCATTTCTCAGCTGTGATGTGGTGATCCCTTTCTAGCAGGATGTTCCAAGGGTTAACAGGATTCCACAAATATTTTCACATACGCTGGCCCAGCTGGCCCAGCTGAGCCCGGAGCCTTAGGTGGCACTGATGGAGGAGGTGGCAGCTGAGCCCTCAAGTGAATTAGCCCCTTATGGAACTTGCTTCCAATCTGCAAAGGTCAGGGTGTGGCACTAAAAAACCACCAGGTCGGGGATGTGGTGGTGCATGTCTATAATCCCAGAACTCGAGAAACTGAGGCAGAAGGATCATTCCACGTTCGAAACCAGCCTGGGCTACATAGTGAGCTCAAAGTCTGCCTCAACTGCACGGCAAGATCTATGGGGCATCCTTGCCCTCTCCATCCCCAAAGAGACCCCAGAAACAGAACAAATGGAGCAGAGGGATATTACATATCATGCTTTTAATACAAACTTAAAAAAATCTGGAACAATATAAACTGTACAGATTTGATCAATCTTTTTTGTTTTTAAACTAAATCTCTAAACACACCAATGTTCCATTCCAAAATATTGCACAACATTCTGAATACAAAATGCTTGATTGTATTCCTCCTTCACTAAAGAAAAAAGGTTATTACCCTGCTCCCCTGGCCCCTCTCCACACTTGCCTCAATGCCCCTTCCCATCCCTAGGGAAAAAACTAGAGCATCTAGAGTCACCGCCTTGAGAAAAAGACACCATTCTGGACTGACAGTGTACATTCTTTACAAGATAACCCACCTTTGACTTTTCCTGGGAAAGAGGGATAGATAGGGTGGGGAAAGGGGAGAAAAGTTTTATTCTCTTTTTTTATTTTAAAGTTTTTTTCCTGAAAAAATATTGGTTTCTCTCCTAAGAAAACTCTTGAAAAGAAAAAAATTACGTTTCTTACGTTAGAAATATACATATATTATATATACCTCTTACATTTTACAAATGTAGCAAATTATTCAATACAAACAGACACCAAAAAATGTAAAAAATAAAAAAAAAGTTTTCCTACGAAACCAGGTAAATTAGTGCAGGTTTTTGTTTTCTTAAAAAAAATAAAATTGAAGCAAAAATGCCTGGATTTGAGACGAGACTGAGCTGGGCCTGAAGCCCAGGCCAGAGCCATGTTCCTCAACACACATCTCTCTGTGGATTTCCCAAAACCCCACGGGGCTGGCTCCCCAGCTCTGATGTGCTATGGAGCACGGCAGCCAAGGCAGATCCCATCTCAGAGAGGGGTGGTCCGCCTGGGCCTGTTACCTTGGTGGGAGCTGAGGAAGAGGGTGAGGGTGGCTGGACTGGGCACCTGGTGCCAGGGAGCAGATGGTGCTGGGCTGAGAATCCAGGGCCTTGCCCCCCTGGGGGAGGTAGAGCCAGTGTCTAGTGCAGGGAGAGGAGGTGGGCAGTGTCTGCTGGGTTGGACCCACTGCCGCCTGCTTGAGGTCCCCGAGGTGGTACAGGGTGGGGTGCCAGGGCTTGGGTGCTTTCTGGAGATGGTGCCCTGACACCAAGCATCCCACCTGCCGAAGCATCATGGAACAAATAAGCTGCCCTGGATGAGAAAGCCCTGCTTCTGCAGAGGCACCAGGCAAGCACCGTCCTGCAGCCCAAGGCTCAGAGTACTACGGCTGTCCTGCCCAGCCTATCAGGGAGGCCTTGCCTCAGGGTAGCAGCAGCGCAGCTTGGGTAAGGGCGAGAGGTACAAGAAGCTTGTGGGCAGGGCGTACATGCACTCAAAGGACATCTATGACCAGAGACCAGAACACCGCCACTCTAGGTCCAAGATGCCCACTGTGGCACTAACTGCAGCCCCATCTCTGCAGGGGATCAGTTGAGGGGTTTGTGCCCCCACTAGGGCCATGCGACAGGGCTGGGAAATTTAGGGACTTCTAGGTGCCAGAGGCTTAGCTATATCCTTTGCCCTTCAGAACTTTTTTTTTTTTTTTTGGTCAAAAACAAAAGTGCAGAGCCCCTAGCAGTCAGGAAACCAGTTCCTCCAGCAGTGCTTTCCCTGGGGAGTGTCCTCAGCAGTGTCACCTGCCACAGGTCCTGCCCTATGAAAAGGACTGCTCAGCCACACCTGGCCCAGCCCAACCTGGAACATAAATAAGCACTTGCTGCAACCTGGAATCATACCCTGGCGGCACACCGGAAGTGGCACATGGCTTGAATCCTTTAGAACAGGATAGCAAACCATGCAAACACACACATATACGCAGACACACACAAAGTATGCACACACTCACCCCACCTCCCTGTCCACAATCTCAGGCCCAGAGAAGACAGGGCTGCATTAGTGAGAGAGAGGCCACTTGTATCAGTGGCTGGGTCTCCTGGGGCATGACGACAGTCTAGGGCAGGAGGGGATGGCAGGACAGGGACACAGGAGATGAAAGCATCTCAACTAAACACAGTGCTAACCTCCCTGCAGTCAGTCACAGCTCTAGGGGTAGGATGTCAGGTGGTCCAGCCTGAGAAGGAATGGGGGCTGGGGTCAGAGCTATTTGGGGGGGGGGGGCAGGGCCCAAAGAGACCTGCTGAGGTTGGATGGCTTTGAGAAGCTAACTGGGAGACAGGCAGTGACGGGGGCCAGCCTCTCCCAATAACTCCAGGAGAATCCGGCACCAGCTGTAGCGCTTCCTTCCCTGTGAGCCTGAACACACAACCCTTGAAGGAGTGTGAGGGAGGGAGGGAAAGGGAGTGAGCAGGGAGCAGCAATTCACATCTGGACCATTCTTAGCACAAGAAGCCACTAATTAAAGATGCTCTATAGAAAACTACATGGAAAAAAAAAAAAAAAGAACTACAAAACCCAAACCAACCAAATAAACCAGAGGCAGGCAGGCAGGCAGGAAGACAGTCGGGGGGTGAGTTCAAAGACTCGGTGCTCTGGGAGCGGCCCACGCCGCCTGTGCTGGATCCTTTTTTGCGGGTGTGAGAGTGAAAAGACAAGCGGTCTTCCTGTGTACCTTCCCCTTCCCCACCGGCCTCTCCTTCCCTCTCTCCTGCCGGTGGTCTAGGGAGCTCTGGCCCCGCGTGGTCAGTTGGCCAGCACCACGGGCTGGAACGGCTGGCTGGGGTACTGCATGGTGTTCAGGTTGTAGCTGAGGCCCTCCACAAAAGGTGTCTTCTCCAGGAAGAGGCTGTTGGTGCCACCTCCGAACACCTGCGCCACGTCAAAGCTGCTGCTGTTACAGGAGCCAGGTCCCCCGCCCTGGCCCTCGGCTCCATCAAAGAAGAGGCTGGGCGAGCCGCCGCCATTGTACACGAACTCCTTGGCATTGGGTGAGAGCTGGGACTGTGGTGCTGGGCTGGCGGGGACGAAGTTCAGTGAGTGCATGGACAGCGACAGGCCTTTGTGCTTCAGCAGGTTGCTGGTGGGGGAACGGGTCAGGCGCGGGGGTTGTGGAGGTGGCTGCTGGCCACCTGGCCCGCTGCTGCCCACGGTGCCCCCACTGGAGGCCCCGCCGCCCTTCTTCATCTTGGTGGAGCCGAATTTGGTGGCAGCAAAGGAGGCAGTGGTGAAGGTGATGGGCTGTGCAGAGCGGGGGATGAACGTCGGGCTGGGTGACTGGCCGAAGGATGGCGATGGGGAGTTGGACAGGGAACTGTCCTGGCTGCCGATGGGCACAAACACCTGGGCGTCAGGGTTGAAGCTGCTTTTGATCTCCTTGTCTAGCTCTGGGGCGCCACCAGCCTCGCTGTCATCCAGGTACAGCACTTTCACTGTCCCCTTCTCACCAATCTGGTAGGACACCTCAAAAGGGTCGATCCACACACTCAGCTCCTCGGGCACATTGGCCCGCACGTCTTCCACTGCAAGGCCACTCCGCCTGGCGGCCAGCTCCACCACGGGGTCCACTGTCTCCCCGATGTGGACGCAGCGGAAGCCAGAGCCCTTTAGCGGCTTGTCAGGGTACCAGTGGCCTTCATATTTCTTCTTCAACAGCCGTTCTAGCTCCTCACCAAACAGATCCGCACGCCGCCGGGGCAGCTTGTTGTATAAGTAGGAGATAATGAAGTTCAGGGCCACTTTGATCTCCAGCTGCATGGTCCTTTCGGGGGCAGAGTCAGTGCCGGGCAGGTACACAGGCCAGAGATAGGGGCAGGAGACACACGGTGGGCAGCCTTGGGTTCCAAACGGTCCTGGGAAAAGACAGAGGAGGAAGGGAACCTGTCAGAAAGGCAGTGGCAACAAATGGCAAAAAGGACGGAGCACATGAATTTGGGCTGGCATGTGGCACATGCCCGGGACCCCAGCTACTTGGAAAGCTGAAGCACAAAGATCCCAAGCTTGAGGCCAGCCTAGGGAATTTAACGAGACTCTATTTCAAAGCAAAAAAATAAAAAAGGAGGTTAGGGCTGTAGGGCAGTGGTAATATGCTTCCTGGCATGGAGAGCTTCTGGCTTTAACACGCACTATTCCCAACAACAAAACAGGAAAAGCACAAGCACATCAGCTCAGGGTGTTCAGATTCAGAGGTCACTTCTGCCCCACTAGGCAGTAATTAAGTGACTTTCTTCTAAGCCTCAGTTTCCTGAACAGTAACATAAGAGTATCACGAATCCCAATGGGATAAACTGCCTGGCTGTAAGCTGCCATATTAAGAAAATAGTTACGATTTAAAAGTAAGTATAAAGACAGGATGGGGAGGGGCTGGGGAGATGGCTCAGTGGAATAAGCGCTTCCCTGGCAAGTGCAAGGACCTGAGTTCAATCCACGGTTCCACAAAAAGAAAAAAAAAAGAAAAGACAGGATGGGGAGATAGCTCAGTGGTCTAAGTGTCTGCCTGGCAAGCGTGAGGACTCAGGTTTGAGCCCCAGTACCAGCTACTGAAACTAGGCGAGGTGGCGCACAACTATAATCCCAGTGCTGGGGAGGCTGAGACAGGAGGATCTCTATGAGTCTGAGCTGCATACCAAGAACCTGTACCAAATAAACCTTAAAAAAAAAAAAAAAAA